GCCTACAAAACACACAAAACAAAGGGAGGCAAATAACTCAAAATTATAGGAAACTAAGCAAAAGAAGTAAGTAAATTTGGGCATGTATATGTATGAAATTATGAGCTTAACAGACGTCGGGCCCCTAAGGGGGGTGGATTGTAAGATCGCACATCGACCAACGGAGAGGGGTGATGTGCCTTGTACAATCCATCTAGCACGAGGCCTTTTGGGAGCTCACTTGCTTCGGAGTCATGGGAACTCCGAAGTTAAGCGAGTTGGGGCTAGAACAATCCCAGGATGGGTGACCCATTGGGAAGTTGCTCGTGAGCTCCCAGAAACAAAACCGTGAGGGCAGAGAGGGGGGCCAAAAGGGAACAATATCGTGATACGGCGGAGTGATCTGGGATGTGACATAAATGCCTCATAACTCAGCTTCCAAGACTTGTCCTACACCAAGATTAACAACAAAGCCTTTCATCCACTGCCCAGAACTATCTCTTAGTACACCCCCAGCAACAATGCGTCCATCCTCACCTTTTCTGCACCCATCAGTATTGATTTTAATCACTCCTTCATTCGGATATTGCCAAGAGAGCGCAGCAAGAGAGATGATGGGTTTTCTAGTATTTTCAATATTGGCCTGTGTCCAATCTGCAGCAGCCATATGAATGACGTGTCTGGGGTTGTTAGGAAACACAAACCCATGATCAAATTTTTTTTTGTTCCTCCATTCCCAAAGAAACCAGCACATGAAAACAAACATGGTTGACCACTCCAGTCCATAAGCCAAAATTGTATAGTTGTTTAAATTTTTTGCAACCCAAGTATGAAGATCAACAGCCTGCAGCAAACTCAGATTCATAGGCATAAGGGACTGATGCTAAACTGAAATTGCCACTGGGCAATTCGGTACAATATGAGCCGCATTCTCCATTAGGGCACCACAAATATCACAATTGGCAATCATGGTCATCTTCCTTTTAACTCTTTGATAATTTGTTAAGAGTTTATCTTGGTGCAGCAACCAAAGGAAATATTTAATTTTGGGAGGAGCCTTAATGTTCCATATAAAAGCCCAGCTAACATCCATACTTGAAGACTCTCGACAATTAGCCATATATGCTGATTGAACACTAAAAGAGTCATTGGTAGTATACTTCCAAATAGGAGTATCTGGTTTACAACTTAATCCAGCAGGTACACACGTAATATGACCTACCCTCTCAAGTGGTAATTCTTCCTTTAGCTTTTCCAAGTCCCAAGTTCCATGAGACAGATAGTCATAAACTTTCAACTGTAATTTATCTTGAGGCACCCTCCCTAACAGACTTATCAAAGGCCCATCACCAACCCAATTATCTGTCCAAAAGGAAGTGTGCAGCCCCTCTCCCACTCTAATTTTTATCCCTTTTTTCAAAATATTTGCACCATGTTCACTAGCACGCCATGTGGGAGAAGGATGCGAGTGCTTTGACCTTTCATTGCAAATAATATTAGAAACATTACCTTGTAGGCATTTCTGAATTAGAGCATTTGACCAGAGGCTATCCTTGTGTTGCAATAATCTCCAGCCTACCTTGGCCAACATAGATTGGTTCACAAGATCAATTTGCTTAAGACCGAGTGCTTTGACCGTTCATTGCAAATAATATTAGAAACATTACCTTGTAGGCATTTCTGAATTAGAGCATTTGACTAGAGGCTATCCTTGTGTTGCAATAATCTCCAGCCTACCTTGGCCAACATAGATTGGTTCACAAGATCAATTTGCTTAAGACCAAGACCACCTTTCTTCTTGCTTTTACAAACTGTGTCCCACTTCACAAGGTTGGGTTCCTTTCTATTTTCTTCTTATTTTTTGACACAATGTGTTGATTTTATTATTTCACTCCTCTTCTCTCATTCCAATTTCTTACTGTTATAGATACCCAACACATATAACACAAGACAACGCATCGTTTTCAAATATTGTTTGTTGTTATTTATTTTTCTTGCTTCAAGCTTGTGCAAAATCCAAGATTTTCTTCTCCTTTTTGATCTGTCAATTTCACGAATTACACCCATAGTTTGCTTCAAAGTTTTCACCTTTCTCATCTTTTTGGTGCAAACACAAACACCCAGTACAAGGCTTTTGCTGTTATTGGATTGCTCATTGGGAGTTTGGAAGTGCAGGGCGGTGGGGGGTTCTCACCAGGGAAGTTGAGGACTATGCTACTGGGAGTAGAGAAGAAGAGGAAGGAAAAGGAAGATCCTGAATCTAAATTTACTTTGAGATATCAACCTTCTCACTTTGATGAAGCTGGTAAAAAAACTATTTACCAAAAAAATTAAGACATTCGTACCTTGAGAGAGGATTTGGCAGGGGAAGATATTGGAAGACAGAGACAGAGGTGAGATCGCAAGAAGAAGAAGATGAGGTTGTTGAGAGAGGTTTTTTGAAAGAGAGAAATCGAGAGAGAGAGAGATCGTAAGAAGTAGGAGAAGATGAGGTTAAGAGAGAGAGAAAGCCGAGGAGAGGAAGAGATGGCTGAGAAAGTGACGCGGAATGAAACATATGCTAGGGTTAGGAGAATTTTTAGAATTGCAAATTACAAAATTACCCCCGCTTAACGGGTTGGTTTGTGTATTCGCGAATGAGCACCGAAACGACCCGTTATCTTAACGGGTCAACACAATATCAACACGACACGATAACTCAGACCCGAATATTGAATTCTTCATGCGAATTCATGTCGTGTTAACGGGTCGTGTACAATATTGCCAACTCTATTTTAAATGGTCTTGTAGAGGGTGTTACTCAAACTAATTGGCCTCATTTGTGCCATAGACAGAGGGCTAGTCACCTTTGGGACTAGAACAATTAAAGTCCTAGTGAGATCATATGGAATTTCCCCAGTAGTAAAAACTTGCTTTACCAAATCACACACCTCAACACCATATATTTCCCAGCACTATTGGTAAAAGCATGAAGCAAACATACTATTTTTAATCTCACTATTACTCATAGGGTCCAACAATTTATCCAAAAAATTATGATCAGACATAATGCCTTTTAAACTCCAGCGATTCTAGCCAAGACTTTCCTTGTTTGAAGTTTAAGATGGCCAAAAACTTGGGAGTTCCAAATTTTCAGCTGCTTCGATAGCTCCCTTGCTTTATTCACTAAATTCCCATTTTCTTGCCACCGGGATCGGCCAGTTGCCCTTTCATTTTGCTTCGGCAATAGATCAAAATAGAGGCAACAAAGCCACCCCCTGGATCTCGTTATTGGATTACTCCGCAAGACAAAGTAGTTGTACAAGGACACTCGGCTTATCAGAGGCAATGGCCTTCGCCTACGTCAAAGACAGCCGACTTAGTGAAAGCCATCGGAGGGCAGGACCAGTGCTGAGTGCCCATGCTTCGTTGCACTCCGCCAACTTCATGGCTGGATGGCGTCTCCGTCCCCTGCTCCTTGGTTTGTAAAAACTCATTTTGCTGTTTATGCATGAGCTCCACAGCCTCTGCTGGGTGAACCGTGGTCCCTTCAAATACCAGAGTATTTCTGCACTTCCATAGCCGCCAGAGCCCGTATGCAATTGAGCTCAGCAATCCATCCCGTCCAGAATCCTGCGCAAAACGATCACACAGCCCCAACCAAATGTCCGCAAAAGTCCCCCCCTGCAATGACCGAACATCTAACTGAAGGGGGCATGCAAACCAGAACAGCCGTGCATAGTGGCAGTGAAACAGAAGGTGGGCCACCGTCTCCTCATGTTGCTGACAGGATGGGCACGCCGGATCAACTTGCACACCTCGGCGCCTCAGGTTACTTCGCACAGCTATATAGTCCTTACAGCATCTCCAAACAAAATGGCGAATCTTGCCCACCACGTTCAATTCCCAGATTGATTTCCATAGCCGTCTTCCTCCTCTATCATCACTAGTTCCTCCAAACCCTCTTCTTCCTAGGAGACCATTGGAATCCAACTCCACTGCCACTCGATACCCGGACTTTACAGTAAAGAGCCCATTTTTGGTGAAATGCCACATCCATCGATCCGGGCATCCAAATCGACTAAGTGCCATGGCCATAATGGAGTCAGCCTCCTCCTTATGAAATAAACGACATACCGTATGCACATCCCATTGTCGCAAAACAGGATCAATAAGGTCCGATACCCTTTCCGGCAGCAGGGGCAGGGCCGTCCCTGAGATTTTGAGGGCCCTGTGCGAAACTTAAATTGGGGCCTCACATAATCTAATACAAAAATACTATAAAAAAAAAAATTGCCATAACTTAATGTTATAAAGAATTTTTTTATAACTAAAAGTCACCATCAATAAATATGTAATGACAATTAGAAATCAAATTCATAAAAATTTAAATGTGTCCATTTGATAAATTTAAATGTTTGGTACAAAAATAACCTCCTTGTGCCTGCCCCTATAAGGTCCCTTGCTGCCTCAAATAAGCAATCTCTGGTTAATAGGAAAAAAAAATTGGCAATCACAAATTAAAGAGTAGCATAACTATTTGATTTTGAGTGGTCTTTATGAATTTAGGAATTATGAATTTCTCTTTTTGGTGTTGAAATTCCTGAAATTGAAAGAATAACAAAAATGGTCAAAGGACTGAAAAAAGAACCAAAAGAAAGATTGATGAATGATGATGATTACTTTACCAGAAAATCAGAGTTTAAGAGAAAGAAAAACCATGAAGTGTTTTTGGTTTTGAAGTAAAAAGTGTTTGGGGAATATATATACTCTTCTTGTTGTTAGCTTCGATGTTTCCCTTTTTTTCTTTAAAAGGCTTTCTATTTTTTTTTAGAGTTTTTCTATTTAAACCTCGCACTTCTCTTTGTTCACCCCATATTCTAAGTTCACCCCAATTCTAATTCAAATTTTCACAATTTCTAAGTAAACCCCACTATCTTCCCAAACTACCCCTAAATACACATGAGAAAAAATAATTAAAAAAAACTTATCAGCCTCACACCCCACACCCCACTTTCTCCTTATGTGTGGTGTTATGTCGAGCAGAAGCAGCCGGAACCCTTCTCCGGGTGTTTGGTGCGGCAGGAGTTTTAGGCACCTCAGTCTTTTCTTGGTCCATCTCTTCTGAAATGGCTCTCCTCATTCTTTTCTTGGGGTTCCATCAATTTCCACAGCCACACTTGGAGGGGTTACTGTTAGCAAAAGAGGAAAATTGTCAGAGGATTATTCTTGAAAGCAATTCAATGGAGGTTATCTCTTGTATGAGAAACGAAAATCTGCGTGGCAACTGGAGAATTATCCCTCTCATTATGGAAATCAGAAGGCTTTCTTCGTGGTTCACCTCGATTAAGTGGGAATGGATTTCTCGCCAAGCAAATCAAGCTGCCCATGCTGCAGCAGCTCTGTCAAACATGAGGGTGCGATCTATGCATTGGGCCTCACAGCCTCCTCCCTCTTTGGTTCTGGTTTTGGCTAAGGATGGTTTGCCATGCCCCCTAGTAGTTAATTTTCTGTTATAAGGTAGTTTACTTGTTGTATTTCCTTTTCACTCTCCTGGGAGGTATCGATGGCCTCCTGTGATTTACTTGTATTGCACTGGGGACCTCCCCTGTTTTCTGTTTGTTGTTGCCTTTGCCTTTTCGGGCTTTCTATCGAAGTATTTTCAGACCAAAAAAAACCAAGAGGATCAAGCCACCAAATTTTTATCTCAGTCGTCCAGAACCAAATGAAAACAAATTGTATAATTAACACTATGAATTTAAGCACCTAAGTTAGTAATTACTAGAATCCTTAAGAACGTAAATAAAATGAAAACTAATGCAACAAGAAAAAATAAAAAAAATACTTAACGTCACCTCTAAAAACCCATTTGCACAAATACAATTAACAATCACCAAGAACCCAGATGATATGAACCCCAAAGAAAAGGAAAATGCAACCAAAACTTGAAGAAATACTGAACCAACTACTGAGGATCCTTTCAAATAAATACCATAAAGAATAATAAATAACCCAGATAACAGCAACTTCCGGGAAACAATTATAAATTCAAAAAAGACAAATAAAAAAATTACTCCCTGAAAAAGAAAAAGACAAGTAGTCAAGAAGATAATAGCGATAGAATTACAAGTGGGTATCTTTATGTCTTCATGAATGACAAATGAAGAGCAGTCATCACGAGAGAGCTCGATGATTGCCTTGACTTTGCAGGCAGTGGTTTCTGTTTTTTTGTTGTTGATAGCAGTGAATAAACATGCGCTGGAGCCAACTCCACTAGACACGCTCTTGTGCAAGTATTTTGCACGCTATACTATATATACAATTCCTATAA